AAGAAGTTTAATTAGATTTTAATAAAGATAGAGGCATGGCCTCACCTTTGAAGATTAAAAAAAAAAAAAAAAAAAAAAAACAATATAAATCTTTATTAATCTTGGAATCCTGTAATTGAAATTTAGTAATTTTGGGCTTGTTAGAATTATCTCACTGAGATGAACATTTTGGTAGTTAAATTATTCAAAATGGGCTAATAGATCAAAAGTTATTAAATTTTAAATAATTTATTTAGTAATTTTAAAAAATTACTATTAAAATTACACAAAATTTGAATTATCTTAGGATTCTGTGATTGAATTTTAATGATTTTAGGCTTGTTAGAATCATCTTATTGAGATAAGCATTTTGGTAGTTAAATCATCTTAATTGGCCCAGTAGATCTAAAGTTATTAATAATTTTATAATTTTATAATTTTAGCTAGAATTATTTTATAATTTTGGCCAGAATTATAAAATTTTGACCAAAATTATAACCTGATATTTTGGTGACCCCACCTACCCACCCAAAAATTACGTAATTTCTGAAAGCCCCCTTACCGTTATTATAATGATTACTATTAACAGTTACCATTATAATATGATAACGGTTATTATTAACAGCTACTATTATAATATGATAACGGTTATTATTAACGGCTACTGTTATTCTAATGGTTACCATTATAATACATAATAGTTAATGGTTTTTAGTTATATCTAATTTTAGCATATGTACAAGATTTTTTAATATACAGTATAACAGTAATAGTTAATTATAAGTGCAAAAAATACTTTTGTAGCATGCATGCTAATGAGAGACATTTGAAAGACAAAAGTTTTCATTCAAATATTAATGTTTTAGAACAATTTCTAGCAAAAAAAAAGCAAAATCCTAATAATATTATTAAATATTGTTTAGATAATCAATTAGATCCTATATATTGTACAATTAATTCTTGCAATTTGTTATCATTATGGCAAATAGGTTAAAAAGGATGAGCAAAAGGCATTCATTTATTATTAAAAATCTGCTAATATGGGTAATTCTCTTGGTTTATTTTAAGGTTTATTAGTGCTCAGCTGATCTGTTTAACCTGGAATGGCGTTTAAGATTGCAGACCTTCGTTACCAACTTGGATTCGGCTCTTTTGTATATTGTACTGCCAATACCCGCCCTAAGAATTTTTAGTATACAAATAAGTAAAATCATCAAGTGTGCTCGAATGCGACACCTGGGCCATATAACACCAGAATTGTAAAATCAGATCTGGGATTTCAAAAGTATGATGAAAATAATTCAGACAGCATTTATGGAGTTATGCTTTGTATTCACCAGAGACTTTATTAGGTCAAGCTCCAGAGTTGAAAGAAAAGGGTTTAGTTAACGTTAAAATTGACAGAGACAATATTTTAAGTCCGGGTTTAACTATTAATATCCAGGTCTAAATATGCAGATGAAACATTAAAATTAACAGGATAATTTTAATAATATATTAATATTGGGTTTAAATCAGCAGGTACATATATCTTATATTAATATTCAGATCTAAGCAAATATTAAATGTTAAATTAACATGGATAATAATTTAAGTCAGTTTAAATAGGCTGGTATGTACATATCCGGTATGTATATTAATATTCAGATCTAAATATACAAAGATTAAAATATTAATTAACAGAGATAATTTAAGTCTGAGGGTGCTTTCAGCATCTAAATAGGTCTGAGTTCAATTTTTAATTAGTGGAAAATACATTATCCTGTCAAGTGAGTTCACCGATTAGAGAACAACTAAAAAATTTGCTACCTCCTATTAATACCTCTCAATCTTCTCCACGTGCAAGAAAATTACCCAAAGATCATTTGCCCGATTCTCTCAAATACCAAAATTACAATTCTGATGTTATACGACCTGCTGCGATCTTCGTAAAAGCTATCATTGCCTCTGATCATGATTTGTCTAATAAAGTTGAAATATCGATGACAAATCTGATCAGAAAAAATTTCCTTAAAATCTTATCAGATAATCTATTGAATATTGTTACACAACAAAGTTTTAGAATTAAACTTTTGCTGTGTAACTAATATACTTTCGCTTGGCTACAATATACTTTAGTGTAATGTTTAATAGTTTAAGAGAAGTATAAAGTATACTTTAATTAGACTTTAAATGGTACATAGATTATTTTAGAGTTTATTAATATATATAAATAGAACGATATATATAGTAGTTAGGATAGATTGGTCTTTTAGTTTTAGTGAGTTTTGGTCTTGTGGATTATTTGAGTAGAACTATTAGTAAGTTTGGAACTTGCTAAGTAGTTAGGGAAAATAAGTGTATTAGTACTATTAGTGTGTCTGGGACACATAGTAAAGAATATTTGTATGATACTTTCTGGTGCTGTTTGTAATAATAAAGTACTCAGTTCATTTCTATTAATGCTTACAGTCTTTTGCTAAATTGGCATAGTTGATATTAAGTCTCTCCCTTGATTGTAACAATATCTGATATTAATATATCAGATAATCTATTGAATATCTGATATAAATATATCGGATATTCAATGGATATCTGTTATAAACCTATTGGATCATTCAGTTAAATCCATTTGGATATCTGATCTAATAAGATAGATATCTGGATATAGTAATGTAGATAAATAGATGGCAGATTAATCCGGGTTGAAACTCTACGAATGTCTGCTCGATATCTTGTTATAGAAGTTCCATCCATTTCTAGACAGGTAAACAATACTGACTTGTTTTGGAAAATTACATATCGATCTTTTGGAAGGAGTAAGCTAAAATGCCCACTTTTTGACAAAATTTCCTCAAAAAAAGTAGTGGGCCAACGAAACTTTTCTGTAGTTGTTCCTTGTAAGTTTTATGGTTATACCTCTAGTGTCATCCTAGACATTCTGTGTTTCTAAATATCTTTCTGGTTTGGATGCCGAATAGGTAGAGGAGTCTGCCAGAAAAAGAGCTTGCCCTTTACCAAAACCAGTCTAAAGTAGACCGCTCCCCGGTTTTACACTCTTGATACTTCATCGACAATACACCTACTTCTGTAGAACCAAGGTTATTATTTAGTTAAGCATCTTTTATAGTGCTGACTATAGTTCGGTTTCTTGTTTTTTGTTGACCAGATGATCGTCAGAAAGAGTTGTTTGGTCAAGTATATTTAATATTATTTCAACCTATCTTATATTTAATAAATAATTTTTTAAGAATTTATAAAATGCTTTATAAATATTGTAATGATATTATTTTTTTAGCATTGCTGATTTCTTAGCTATTCTGCTTTTGTTTATTAAGATTAAATTATTTGACAAATTATATGAATTTCTCTTCTAACTATACTAATTTACTAAAACAAATAGCTTATCTGAACAAATACTAAAATATAATCTTGTTTAATAATTTTTAGCCTTTTTTTAAATCCTTAACTTATTAAAGATTTGAATTCTTTGGTTATTGCTAATAGCTATATAAGAATTTCAAAGAATAAATAGACATTTCAGATCTAAGTTTGTATAATTTTAGCCAACTAGATATACAGTTAAATTTTATAAATATAAGCTTTTTAAATGCATATTATATGAAAAACCTTTATAAATATATAGTTTTGCTATGTCTCTATTATTTATCTAACAAACTCATATAATTATAGTGCAGCAATATACTGTTATTTTTAATACAAAATAATATATTGCCAAATATTTGAATTTTGCCAAAATATTATGATTTTTGGAGCAATATTATTTGGCAAAAAACTAATATTTGAGCTAAAATTATTTAAAATTATTATAATTTAAATAATATTATTTATGCAAATTAAGCAATTACAAATAAATTTATTAATTAAAATGCAATTTTAATATTTAAAAATTAAAAGTCAATTAATAAAAGTATATCTAGTAAGAAATTTTTTAAAAGACTTATTTTTAAGATCTTTTTCACCTTATTAACTTCTTTTTAACTATCCATACTTTTGGCTTTCTTTTTTTTTATCTTTTTAAGCAAATTCATATTATGCTTAGCCAATATATTACTCAGTTTTTCAAAAATTACTTCAAAATTATCAAGTATATTTATTAAAGATATTTAAAAATCAGTTTGTTTAATAAATGATTTGCAAGCAAAGTCATCTATTACTAAGGTCACTTCTTTACAGCTTTTAGAAATTGGTACATCATTTTTATATTTGTTGAGAATGTCAATTTTATAATCATTAAGAGTGTCATTTTTATGATTACTGAAAGCATTATTTTCATAGTTATAGAGAGCATTATTTTTATGATTATAGAGAGCTTTATACAGTATATAAAACAATAAATAAGAAAATGTTTTAAAAAATTTTAACAAATATTAAGTATTATACTATAATATAGTTATTAATTTTTTTTTTTGGTTTTTAAGATGACCTCTTGGTCGCTATCCTTTTATTTAATTATTATTAACTTTTACAATATGGTATACACCATATTATACACATATTTGGAGAGTACAACTAGTCACATTTGCAACTTTTGGTTGCCTATTTAAGTAGACTCCTATTACTAAGTCCTATACTAGCTGCCGTACCTATAATCCTACTGAGTTACCCATTTAAACACTCTGCGCCTATGTACATTAATCTTCTAACTGAATGAGAATACATTAATAACTCCTTATTTTCAGATTCCCAACTTAGAACTTTAAGACAGACCCACCTATAGGGGTCCTTTGTCCTCGAAGTAAACCTGCTAGAGCCTTCTATACTCACATTTAAGCTGATCTAGGCTTCGGTAACTTATGTCGAGTCTGAAAACAAGTACTTGCGAGCTGAAGCCACTACCGTTACCTACTTCTGCCTTTATAGAGTTCACTCTATCCCAGCCCTTACTCATCTAATCAGAAACCCTTCCACTGTTTCACCAAACTTCCAATCCAGATAGCCCAGTTTGGTCTACAAGTTACGTTACCTGCTTTTCTACTAGCTTAACCCAGATACCAACCTGTACCCTTTTTCTCTGATCGATTTAGCGGCCTGGTTGGTATAGTGCTCGCCAAACACCTGGTCCTCATTCAGATCTACAGCTTATTGGTTTTCTTCTCAGACTTTCCAAAGCTATCAAAAGTAGTACTACCTCTTTATTCGGGACTTGCCAAGTAGATTCCTATTCGGGACAACGTCCAACGGATTACACAGATCCTGGAGATTTATTGTGGGTTTACACCGCCTTTTATCAGTTTGTATCTCTTTATATAACTCCTCTATTATATAAATACCCCAAGATCTTCCAAGTCTGTACTACTACCCCTGATTAGGGCTTACGAGATAAGCTGTCTATTAGGCGATCATTACCCTTGCACCTATTTGGTCTGACCATCATTACAGAATCTACATCTCAATATCCGAATAGTCATCAATGCACAGAAGAATTCGATTTTTTGTTGTTAGTGGGAATTGAACTCTGGATATGCCACTTGGGGGCGACAACTTAATCACTTCACTAAGTCACCACACTCCATATAGTTATTAATTTGACTATAAAAAAATAAAGTATTAAATAATGATTATGTAACTACAGTCACATGATACTAATGAACTAACAAACTTTGCTTAATTATTTATTTATTCTTTTTTTTATAATTTGACAGTCTTGTTACTTTTATTTGAGATTAAACTAAACTAAAAAATTTACATTTCTTAATAATAGCTATACTAATTTAACAAAAAGTGACTTACCCATGTTTGTATCAGATATGACTTGCCTTAGTGGACTTTAAGCCTTTCTTTGAAACCCTAACTTACTAGATGTTATTTTTTGGTCATGGGCTAGTATTACACACCATATCAAAATTAACTTTTCTTTTATAAAATGAAATACAAATACAAATATAAAGGGCATACCAAAAAAGGAAAAAATACTATAGTGTCAAGTTCTGGTCCATCTAAACCAATAAAACTAAATAAAACAAAACCGAAAAGAAAAAAACAAAAGACAACAAAACAAAGATAACACTATTAAACCTATGCAGGATTATAAAAATTATATAGTACTACAAATAAACTAGTCTGAACTCTATACTAGTTATTTATATTTATATCCAGGATATAAAAATATCAAAAACCATCCAGTTTTGAATTAAAGATTTAAGTTTAAAATTTCTCTTGTGATCTTAGCAAATTTTCTGCAATGTTTCAACTTGTGACTTCCTAGACAAAGTTAATAAGCTATTGTCTATCAACCCATATTAGCAAATCAGGCACTTTCAGTATAATTACCACAACTTCTTAAGGAAAAAGTATTGGATGTTTTATAGAATAGGTAGGCAATATAAGAAATAAGCTTTGCTAATGATTAGTAATCATTAATTTTTCAATATTAGAGTTGCAAAGTTGGCGAAGTTTGTCTACTTATTCTATAGAACATTTAAAATATCTGATACTATTAATCCAAAGTATATATACACATGTATATATATTTTTTTTGGTACTAATTGTTGTTGTTAATCTTTTGATGAAGGTATATTGTATTTTACACTTTTTAGTAAAATTTTGTAAAAGCCAAAAGTGGGTGTAAAGAAGAGTTTCAGTTTGCAGATAGCATCAAATTTTGGTAAAGAAAGTGTTGAAAATTTACTTGTTGTTCTTCTTAAACTAATTAACTTTAACTTTGTAGTAGAAGCAGTGTTTCTATTAAAATTTCTGCACAAGAGCACTAACTTCTTGCTAGTTATCTTATACAGGAATGCTTTTAACTTGTATACTAAATATACGAAGGAGTCTAAGAGAAACATAAAGTCTTTGACCTCTGTAAAAACCATGATTTGTAGCTATCTTTTTTACTTTTTTTTAACAAGTTTTTGTTTTTTATTAGTTATAAGTTTAGTACAAATAATCATCAAAGAGATTCAATATTATTAATTTATTCTTTTTTTTCTAATTCAGCTATCCTGCTCTTGTTTATTTGGGATCAAGTTATTCAAAATTACAAGAATTTATCTCTAACTAAAATAGATCCAA